AAAGCCATAAATTGTCAGAGGTAGGTCACCATAACCTACTTCTTAGATATCATTCTATGAAAACTCAAGATGCATCAACTAACAAAGTTTGATGATTCTAAACCGATAAATACCAGAGGTACTTGAATAAAGCCATAAATTGTCAGAAGAAGGTCACTATGACCTACTTTTTGAATGTCATTCTCTGAAAACTCAAGATGCATCAACTAACAAAGTTTGATGACTCTGAACCGATAAATACCAGAGATACTTAAATTAAGCAATACAATGTCAAAAGTAGGTCAACGTGACCTACTTTTTTGTTGACTTTCTCCGAAAACCCAAGATACATCAACTGACAAAGTGTGATGATTCTAAGCTAATAAGTATTCAAAAGTAGGTCACTGTGGCCTACTTTTTGGTCGACATTCTCTGAAAATCTAAGATGCATCAACTAACATCGTTTGATGATTCTGAACCATTAAATACCAGAGATACTTAAATAAAGCCATAAAATGTCAGAAGTAGGTCATCCTGACCTACTGTTTGGACGTCATCCTCCGAAAATTTGAGATGCATCAATTAACAACGTTGATGATTCTAAACCAACAAGAACCGGAGAAACTTTAATAAAGCCATAAATTGTCAAAAGAGAGTCACTGTGACCTACTTTTTGGTCGTCACTCTCCGAAAACCCAAGAAGCATCAACTCACAAAGTTTGATGATTCTAAGTCAATAAATACCTAAGATACTTAAATATAGCCATAAAATGTCGAAAGTAGGTCATCATGACCTACATTTTGGTCAATGTTTTTTGAAGTCCCAAGATGCAACTACTGACTAAGTTTGATGATCGTATGTCTAAAGGTAATCAAAATTTGCCTTTGAAACAATTTGAAAACAAATGCCTGTAAAATTCAAAAAGTAGGCCACAGTGACCTACTTTTTCATAAATTTGTTTTAAGGTCCCAAGATGCATCAACTTACAAGATTTGATGATTCTAAACCTCTCAGAGTCTGAAATAACTGGATTAAATGTTTTTAAAAGGATTCATCATGAAGTTCATAAAGTAGGTCACTGTTACCTACTTTTAAGTTGACCTTGTTCAAGGACCCAAGATGCGTCAACTGACAAAGTGTGATGATCATATGCCTTAAAGTGTCAAAATATGCCTTCAATTCAATTTGAAAAGAAATGCCCGCAAAATTTAAAAAGTAGGTCACTGTGACCTACTTTTGATTTTACATTATGTGAAGTCCTAAGATGCATCAACTTACAAAATGTGATGATCCTAGTCCTTATAGTAAGCAAAATATAAACGTTTTTATTATTTCTAAATTTAGGTCAACTTTGAAGTGACCACGCCCTTTGCCCCAGGGTAATTCCCGTGCAATATTTAATTGTCAACATAGCCTGATCCTTGTATGTAAGTTTGGTGAAAATCTGCCTGATGGTTCTGGAGAAGATTTTTTTAGCAACCAGTACTTTTGGTTTTGTTTTCCTGATTATCTCCCCTTGTTTAAGTGTCTTAACCCTTATTTTACTATAAATGGTAACCCTTGGGCCAAGGATACCCTGTAATGAATTTGACATTGATTGGCCAAGGGGTTCTTGAGTTATGGCCCATATTCTAAAAAGTTAACGCACACCGCACACTGCACAAATGGCAATAGCATTAGCTCTTTGAGTCTTTGGCTCAGAAGAGCTAAATGAAGTACATATAGCAGCTTCAATTTCATACCTGTTGCAAAGAGCTAGGTTCACTAACTCCATAAAATGGCCCTGTCCTTATACGTTTTCTAACAAAGTCACAATGTTCCATTTTAAACATCAGTGCAAACTCAAGAGACCTAGTGCTTTTATTTTCAGTAAGAAAATGTTTCGCAATCCTTTCAGAGTTCAGGTATTGCAAAATAGGCTTTGTGAAATTGCAATATTACCGGGAATTAGATTTTGAAGAAAATGGATGAATTTGAGCATCTTCTGCTAATAATTAAAATGTGAGCCCCAAAAAATTAAAAAAAAATTATTTGCTTAAAATATTCTGTATACGAAGATGTTATAATTATTATGATAATACTAGTAAAAGAACTTGTCTAGCTTAAACAAATAACATTCTGCTAATGAAACATTATTTGTTTTAAAATTGTTCTAAATAAAATTGTAAGCTTCAAAATTAAAAAATTATTAGATTCTAGGTTGGGGCTATGCAAAATGTTGAAAACAGCTGAATTTTGTTGGCCTTCTCACTACTTTTGTTTTACAATTTGAGGAAAATCAGATGCAATTCATAATGTCATATCAGAGAAGAATATGACATTTTTAATTAATATGAATTGACCTATGGTCCAAGTAAAAATAAACATATTTTCAACTAAAAGTGAATAGTTTTGATTTTTCAGATATTCACTTCCAGGGTCAGAAAAGGGCCATAAGTGAACTTTGTTATTTTTCTACAAGTCTTTAAGGTCACATGAATATTGTGAAATGATTTAAAAAAAAAAACATACTGCCTGTGCAATATCTTACCCTGACAAAAGTAGTTTTCTTTGTTCTTCTGTAACAAAAAATGGCTGTAACAATCAGTTAAGTTTTTCTAACTAAAGTTATACCTCATCATCAAGAATTTTATGGGACCACAAACAACAGACCCATGGGCCATAATGTTCACCTCAGTAACTTTGGTCTTTCAGCTCAGGTGAGCCAAAATCTCAGAGTTACCAGAGGATTCAAGATATTGAAAGTAATATATGAATAGAGGTATCCAATAAATTATTGTCAGATATGTCAGTGCAAAATTTTGATTCTAAATTATTAGACAGCTTTACAAAATCAAAACTTGGGAATGAACATTTTTTCAGTATTCACCAAATTAGTGAGACAGAAGTATTTAATATGTTAAATGCACTAGATGTAAATAAATCCGCAGGTGTAGATTTTATTGGGCCTCGTCTACTAAAACTTTCAGCAAATGTCATATGCAAATCCATTACACATCTTATAAATGCTAGCATCATTAATGGGGTATTTCCATCACATTTAAAAAAAGCAAAAATCACCCCTATTTTTAAGAACGGGGACCATGCCGATCCAGGAAACTAAAGACCTATATCAATTCTTCCAACATTGTCCAAATTATTTGAAAAAGACATAGCCAATCAACTCCGGGAATTTACTACTACCTTTGATCTTATATATAAATCACAATCTGGTTTTCGACAGTTTCACTCCTGTCAAACAGCATTAACAAAACTAACATACAATTGGTTGCAAGCTATGGATAAAGGAAATCTTGTAGGGATAACTTTTCTAGACTTTAGTAAAGCATTTTTTTTGAGTCAATCACGATATTTTGATAAACAAACTTAAGTTGTATCACTTTGACCAAATGTCAATTAAATGGTTTTATTCCTATTTGAGCTCCAGAACACAATGCGTAAAATTAGGTTCTTATTCCTCTAAATTTATGCCCGTCACAGCAGGTGTGCCACAAGGTTCTATTTTAGGGCCGCTTTTATTTTTACTATATATATATGATCTTCCTCTACATGTAAATAATACAGATATTGATTTTTTTGCTGATGATTCAACTTTACTTACATATCATAATAATGTGCATTCTATTGAAAATGCCCTAAATGTTGATTTGTGTGAGATTGAAGACTGGTGTTCTAGAAATCAAATGGTGTTGAATATTGAGAAGACAAAATGTATGCTTAAGGGGACTCAACATAGAAAATCTAAATTAACAACTTCAAAATTAGATTTGTGTGTATCAGACAAAGTTCTTAAAAATGTTGAATCAGAAAAGCTCTTGGGAGTACATATTGATCATTCATTGCGCTATATTAGTCATATTGATTCTGTGTGCAAGTCCTTGACGTATAAACTATTTACATTACGTAAAATTAAAAAAATTCTCCCATTACACACGCGGAAACTTTTTTATAATGCATACATTCTGCCATCTTTAAATTATTGCTTAACTATATGGGGCAATGCTCCAGGTGCTGGCATAGAAAGAGTTTTTAAATTACAAAAAAGAGCAGCAAGAATTATATTAGATGCGGCACCAGATGCTCCATCACAACCATTATTTGTGAAACTTGATTGGCTGACTATATATGAATTAATAGATTTTCACAAATACATACTACTTTATAAAACACTTCATGATATGACACCTGATTATCTGAGAGACTCGTTTGAATTCATTTCCTCCAAAAATTATATTTTACGTTCTGAATCCAATTATGACCTTAGTCTACCAAAGTATCGAACAAATCTGTTTAAAAATTCTTTTCAATATTCAGGTGTTAATTTATGGAACAAATTACCTCTACATGTACGTTTTTCCCCAACTGTACAATCCTTTCGTAAAAATGTGGAAAAATTTATCATCAATGGACGCAACATTTCCTAATTTGTAACTTTTTCTATGTTTTGATAATACATTGTATATACTTTCTTTTTTTCAAATGTAATTCACATATGTAATATGCTTGTAATTTTTCTGATTATTGTACTGTTGTATACATAATTGTACTATCCATGTATAGAGGGCCCTGAGGAAGACTAGTGCATTGCACTAATCGGGTTACCCTCTTTAAATAAAGTATTATTATTATAATTATTTAACCATTTACTCGGTAGCACATTGGACTGATAATCTCGAGGTCGTGAGTTCACTCCCCGGCATGTGCGTGGTCGGATTTTCTTCAGTAATAGCGGCCGTGCACTATTTTGGCATAGTATGGGTATGCTATATAAATCCTTAGAACACTATGCAAGAATAGTAGGATATGGGTTATGTAGAGACAAACTGACAGGAAGCATAATATTTCATACAAATATCAAACAAAGATATTATTGATTCATATACACTTTTTTTATTTATAAACTGAAAATTACAATAGGGATTTTCTACTTTTAATTATAGTTTGTGAAACTGGAAGTACATATTAGGAATTTTCCACTTCTAATTATAGTCTTGAAAGTAACAGGAACTATAATGTGAAAATGACTTCCTACGAATGGCTGTAAGTAAATATATGTACCTTTGTGATAATCAATACAGACAGGCAGATATTTCTTCAATTCTAAAAATCATTATATGATTACGTATTTATTGAGGTGTTGTTCAATAAAAACAATGACCTGTAAGATTTTAAAATTAAAATACCTTAGATTAATAGTGATCGAAATAAACAAATTTTTTAAAACTATTTTTTAAACATATTTTTATTTTGTCAGGGACCTGGGTATACAGCATTTATCAGAGTCTGTGTTTATGAGACTAAGTCACCTACTGGGGTCCCCACAGACGGTGGACTTAAGAGGAATGATAATAAATCAAGTAATGAAAACAAGAGAAGAAGACAGAATAATGACTAGTGGGAGTTACAGAGAAGGATTCAGGTTAGAGGGATCAGATAAGGATGAAATGTTTTGGCCAAATGACCACACGGTAATATGGGACTTAGATCAGGTTCAGAAATACGACTTAAGTAGAAAAACACTGATTCTCTGTGATTGTACGGAGAGCCGACCAGGATTTGGTTTACTTGAGTTACTGACACCAACACACAGGGAATATTTAAAGAATGCGTGTATGAGAATAAATGACAGACTCTATATATCCAGTTCCAAATACAGACAGATCACATGTTCAGTAGTTTTTCCTAATTCTACAGAACATGGTCCGTGTGGTAGTTGTGTTATAGGGGGAACAGAGTATGACGCTGCGCATTGTTTTATAAGTGATTTCTGGCCCCCTCCTGCCTCCAGATGGATAGACAGATGTCACACATGGCCCCCGTCTTATATTGTTGATGATATTGTCAGAAATGGATGCCACTTTGTAGCAATAGGACATAAACTCGGAAAACATGCAGACAAAGAATGGAGAATTTCCTTTTCTTTAGCAGAACAAAAACTTGTATATTCAATGAACTATTGCCAATTCTTAACCTATGGGCTGCTAAAATTGTTCTTAAAAGAGTCTATTAATAATGGATTAAGTGATGAAGATAAATTACTGTGTTCTTATCATATGAAGACAGCAGTTTTCTGACACCAACACACAGGGAATATTTAAAGAATGCGTGTATGAGAATAAATGACAGACTCTATATATCCAGTTCCAAATACAGACAGATCACATGTTCAGTAGTTTTTCCTAATTCTACAGAACATGGTCCGTGTGGTAGTTGTGTTATAGGGGGAACAGAGTATGACGCTGCGCATTGTTTTATAAGTGATTTCTGGCCCCCTCCTGCCTCCAGATGGATAGACAGATGTCACACATGGCCCCCGTCTTATATTGTTGATGATATTGTCAGAAATGGATGCCACTTTGTAGCAATAGGACATAAACTCGGAAAACATGCAGACAAAGAATGGAGAATTTCCTTTTCTTTAGCAGAACAAAAACTTGTATATTCAATGAACTATTGCCAATTCTTAACCTATGGGCTGCTAAAATTGTTCTTAAAAGAGTCTATTAATAATGGATTAAGTGATGAAGATAAATTACTGTGTTCTTATCATATGAAGACAGCAGTTTTCTGGGCGATTCAACAAAACACACTACCTAACTGGCATCCACAAAATTTTCTTCAGTGTTTCTGGGTCTGTTTCAAACTTATCCTTAAATGGGTGTATGAGGGGGCTTGCCCAAACTTCTTTATTTTTGAAAACAACATGTTCCTGGGTAAAATTCATGGTGAAGCACAAAAACATTTATTCTTTAGGCTTCATAAATTGTATGA